AGTGCTTTACAGAATTATCTGGAGATGTCACAAATTGAACCTCTACATGTGAAGCATAAATCTATGACACAGATTGAACTTATATAGCATACATATAAAGCATGTTGTTATGTCTCTTCAAGTTGATTCAAACTTTTTGCAATACTTCATGCTTGGCAAGATTTATTTAGAGGAGTTTTACTATTGCTTTCTTCTTTAGCTGAGAGTGTGTGGCTGGCCCAAGGTTTTCAGTTGATTTCCAGGACCAAGCAGGAATTTGAAACCTGAGCTCATGGATCACCAAATAATTACATGACACTGGTTCTCTGCCTATATGTATTACCTTCAAACCTGTTGGCTTCTCAGTAGTACTTTATTCATGTGTCATTTGTTCCCTCTGACAGCACTTTTATTCTGATAGATAATGTATTTATTTAATCAGTTTTGCTTGGATACAATTGAAAATGCATGAATTAGCAGAAATGAACAAATTGGCAATGTTGATCAAGGAAAGGTCCTTAGTTAGCTTTTTCAAAATTTTGGGATTTATTTTTTACCTTTGTGAAGATAAAATGGGGATATATTGCAACTTTGGCTTTCAATATACCATAGAGAAAATAGACATGCAGCTGAGATATCACATAATGAAAGTTTAAACATATATTAAGTATAACCTCTGATCAATGAAGATATGTTGTCACTTCCTGAGTGTGTTCAAAATGTACATAAAGTTGGCTGTTGGTATCTGCTGGGATTTGGTTCCAGGACCATCACCACAGTCAATACTAAAACCCATGATATATACAATAGTGAACTGTTCCCTCATATAAAATGACAAATTCCAATGTAAGGCGTAGTTGGCTGAATCCATGGATGAAGAAAAGATGGATAGAAGTGACCAAATGTATACAGGACTATTGCATACAAAACTAAAGTAGAAGTTTCTACTTTGTAGGGTATTTCTGAAAGGTGAGAAGATAAGGCATTTTTAAAAAGGAAGAAAGGAGGATGGTTTGTTTCTTCTGCAGAAAAAGTTGCTGCAATAAAAGCTTAAAAGAAAATCCCCACTGTTGCCTAGAAATCTACAACGTTTTCAGGAACCATAAACATAAGCACTGGCTTTATTATGGTCTTGCTAGAAAATAGATTAGAATGATGCCTGATTTCATGCTGTCCAACAATCCACAAATGGAAAATTGGACATGTGTGGCCAAGCAACATTAGAGTGTGGTGAAAATGAGAAAACATACAAGATAGGGCATGCTGAAGCAAATTGTTTTTGCCTGAGTCAACTGGGAAGGGAAAGATTCTGTTAAGTTAATTGAGTGCAAACTACTTTTTTTCTTTTTGAACTCCATTTGCAGTATCTGAAGTATGTGAGGACAAAGGGGTTAAGTGAGATGCAAATAGATAAAAACATGGGCATTTTAAAAGCCTTTGTAAAAGTAGAACAGCAAAGGATTAATTAGTATTGTTTATTCCAAATTGGGACACTTGAATTGTATGTTATATATGTAACTCAAAATGTATATCAAATCTCTTTTGATTTATCCACAATTTCAGTGACGTTCACCAGTCCCATTGCTACATCTGACAATAATGGAAAGCAAAGTATAAGCCATGCTATCATGCCTTTGGTGGAAAACTGCCTTAAGGATCAACTATGTGAATATATTCAGTTTTCTAAAGTAACACTATAAACTTTAATGAATCAACCAAATCCATCTGGCTCCCAGTCTGTAGCATCTATGTCTGTATGTTGGTTTGTCTGCATCTGGAAATTTTGTTGACAGCTCCCTGAATTCAGTTACTGACTAATCCATGAACGAGGAGAAACTTCCATCTGCAGATGTTTTCTCTTAGTATCTTGGTGGCTGAACAATCAGCACTATAGCAAGCTCAGATATTTGTTGCAATGATGAAATACAATGAAAGGATCAGGGCATAAAATTTAATACAATCATTGGTGCCATGCATTTCTACTGATAAATAAGGCCATCAGCATTGTGATGGGAAAAGAATTAAATTAAACAAAAATTTAGCTGTGACTAATTTGGAAGTATTTTAGAGGAAAGGGGAATTCAATCAAAGGAGTTAATACAGACAAGTTAATTCCATTTCCAGAACAGAATTTAGTGGATGTCCCAAAAGTATTTTTTTTAAAGTTTCATATTAAAATACAATCTTTACACTTTTTCTCTATATGATTCCCATCCCTTTCAAGATATCACTTTTGAAGAAATTTCATTTCTAAATATGAAAAACTTCTTTTAATTTAATTTGTATTTACAAATCTTTAGATAGGCAAGGAACAGCTTTTTTCTAATTAAAGCAGTAAGGCACCATTCTTCTTGTAAGGGACTAATGAGGCTTCTGCACAAGGAAAAATAATGTTTTAATTAAAACATTTTAACTGATTTCTGCATAACTAATTTCATGCACTATTTCTGTACTAAACTGTTAAGCATCTTCTTTGGGATGTTTCTTCCTCAGGAAGATCTTTGGAAAGTAAGAGAAGTAAAATGTTTCACTTTTTAAAGACATAATCCATTGGAGAGTGTAGACATTCTCAGTGGAAAGCTTGCTACATTCTTGTCAACCTTGAAGGTGACTTACACTGAGCAAGGGCCTAGCAAAAGTTAATTTACAATCTACACAGCTTATACTATGATGCCAGGCTTCTTTTTCATACTGTTTCATTGGAGCACAAGGTATGGCTCAATAGTTCATTTGCACATTCCAATAAATCAAGATAAATATAGACAATATTTTCTCCTACACACCTTTTAGTAGCAGTCATTAAATTCAATTTCTCTGCCTGATTCAGAAATGTAGTTAATGTCACATAAAGAAACTTACTGATTGACCTTTAGGGGAAAAAATACTTTCTGGATCCGACAATTATTCTCAATCTAAATCAGATACAATATATTTTCAATAATGCAAAGTTTAGAATGAATACTATATTTGTTCACTTAAGCACGAATTAAGACAAACCATTTATGATGTTACATTGGTGAACAAGTAATTTAATTGATGTAACTTTCCATTTAAACACGTTCACAATGGAAAGAGATTATAGGATCCAAAGTATGCTTTTTTTCCCTTGTGCTGTCAGTCACTTGAATAGTTTTTGGAACTCTCTAAGCAGGAGGTTATTTATCCTTCACCTCCTGCTGTTCTTGAACATAAATCTCCATATCAAATTCTTACATAACTTCTGTAACATCCAAAGGACTTCCTAAGTTTTGACTCTAGCAACAGTTAGCAGCAAAATACACCTAAAGGTAATTCAGTGAATACTTTTACAAGAATTCTATCAATTAATCCACAACTCCATAACGAAAAATATTTCTGTATTTCTAAAATCACAACTAAATTCAATAAAATTTGCAATAAAATCTGCATTTGCAATAAAATCTGCATTGCTCTGATTTATGAAGATGAACACACACATTGCTGCTAAAATCTTTTTTAAATACCCCCACAATTATTCTATGGATAATTTTACAGTGTTTTAAAAAATCAATAAGCTAAGAAAAGAGAATTGTATAATATTAAATATTTGACCAGTCAACATGATGGTACCATACATAGCCAACATGAAGTTTGCCCAAGTACAGTTCTGACATTAAAATACATCATTTAAACCTTTCAGATATTATTGATTTTCATTTGTATCTTTCAGACATTTATTTCTGATCAAATGCTCAGGTTTACATCAGACTCGTTCAGAACGACAAGAGCAGTTTTCCAAATAAAGTTGGGAAATGGCTCAGCTAATTTCTGAGCCAATCACAATTCAGCTTGGCTTGCCTAGCTAAACAAAACCCTTCCCTTCACCCAGAGAACTTATTTTTCCTATATGTAAATTTATTTTCTTTTTCTCTCAGAGTCAGTTACAGTGACAGACAAGCTCTCAATGGGGATAGGATAAGGTGTTTCCTCAATAGCTGCAGTAATTTTTGCATTCTTAAAAAAAATATCTACTGCAAGTGACTTCAAAGTATACCAGCACCAGGCATCAACCAAAGAAGAATGGAGAGAAAAGCCTGCCTTCTTCTGTCACTTTAGCCAAATCATTGCTGCTGCTGTTGCCACCATGTTGATTTAAAGGTCACAAGGAATTTGGTGTGCTATATTCCAATAATAGATTTTCCCAAGCTCTGTTGTCAAGGAAGGAAGAGACTGGTATATGATATTGGGGAACACAAGTTGGAATACTAAGCTCCATGGAACTAGCACCTGCAGTTTCATTATTCATTTCCAACAAAATATGGCTTCTGACAGCATTTTCTATTACCTCCAATGTGATTCTGTGACATTCTTGAGCCAGAAATCCTTCATTTCTAAGATGTACGGTTTCATATATCTACACAAATTCAAGGAACGTATCCTGCATAGATACGAGCATTGCACTATATTCATTAATGTTTCAAGAAATGAAGCAATCGCATCTTTCCCCTCCCACAGAATATAATGACCAGTGAAACCATATTGTAGCACTCACAAGTTTTACTTCTTCTATGTACAACTTAGCCTCTTTATTTTCTATAGTGAATCAAGAAAGTCTGAGTAGAGGAAACCTATTCCACTTTCTCTTCCCCTATTCTGTTCATACAACACACACAATAAATGCTAAGATAGTACTCCTCTCTCAAAAATTATGCCCCTCTTTGTTCAATTTATTGACCTAGCCTTATTACAAAATCTTACCCTTGAAAAGGAGTTGTCATCCCATCTTTCATACCAACATTCCTCACAAAGAACAACCCAGAAGTTAAAGACTTAATATATAGTTTCTATTTGAAATAATGGTTAGACTCAAAGCAAACTAAGTCTGCAATCCCATGTAAACTTACATCAGAATGTACACAATTGAATTTAGATGTATATCCAAATAACCACACATTTAGGAATATACACTAGATTGTCGACCTTTTCCTTCTATTTCGTGGATCTTAAATACCCTTGATACAGAATGAAAATAATTAAATCCCCATTGTTATCCAAAAACCTACCTGGACTGCATATCCTGCTGTGTTTTGGGCTGGCCAATTTCAGTGGGAGGTGAAGAATGAGAGACGTGTTGCTGAAGTTCAACTAAAGACTGGTAGTACTGCTGCTGTTGGTGCTGTTGCTGTTTATATCGAGACAAACTGAAAAACAGCCCCAAAATGGCTTTCAAATTTCCATTCCTTATTTCTGTAAAAGAAAAAACAACAGCATATGAATTTATGGTGTTAATTTCTCATCTTCATAGGTGTATGCAACAGACACTGCATGGATCAAAGAAAAGTATACTAACCTTTTATTAAATGTCACTTTTAGAAGCAGTTTTTTTGGGGGGGAAATCCTTATTTCATATTATTTTCTTGAGTAAATTGCACACTACTTATTGACTTCATGACTATTCAATTTATTAGAAATATATTAAGACAACATATCAAATAGTGAAAAACATACAATAATTGTAAAGGTTCTGAGTCATTGTAGGTGGACTATGCCAAAAAGAATGCAAATTATTTAAGTTTTAGAAAATGTTTAAATTGCTTCTATTTCATTTTCAGTTATTAAATAAATGTTGTGCCAATTGCCAGTTTCCCTGGCTTTTTGAATTCCCAACATCCATTAAGAAAAGAAAAAAAAATGAACTGGAAGAAGGAGGTGATATTTGAAGTTTAGCATTTTGTTGATTTGTTCTCCAAAGAACCGGCATCCCAGATCTGGAAAGCCTGAAGAGTTTGAGAGTAAAGCTTCTAGCAGTGTTAATGCTCTTATAATGCAAGGTTTAAGAAACAGGGAATTTTATATTTCATTAACTTACATGCACCCGGATTATGATAGCTTTCCACTGCCCGAGGTGAACTGAGGCAAATATGACTCCAAACAATAGTAACAAGAGAATATTTCCTAGCTGAAGTAGCAATTCACATTTAAACCTACTACCACTATTTTATGGTAGAAGACTCATGATGGTCCTATACTGAATTAAAACCGAAGAGTAATTATATTGAGTGTATGTGTATTATGCAATAGTAGAGAACTATATGCTTATATTTCAGGGTTTACACTCTTAATCTCAGCACTCTCATGCTCTCTCTCTACATATTAATATTATACTTGGTTCGGCCACCCCAAACGAAATTCAGTTCTGAAAACACAAAGTAGGAATCCACAGTTAAGTTGTTGGATCTCATATCCGTACATAATCAACAATTTTGGTTTTGCTGCAGGAAGTGGCCAAGATCAGTAAATAGCCATGATCTTCAGTTAGTTCTTTAGAAAATGTGTGAATCAAACCATACCATGAAAATCATATGCCTTATATTTATAGATAGAATGCAATACTAGACAAAAAATTATCAGATTTTATTTATTTATTTTTGTCTAGAAATCAGCTATAAACTGTCGGGAAACCTTTGGATGTTAAAAAAACAAATCAAAACAATTGATACTTTGCAAATCCTAACAGACAAAACAAGGTGTAAATATGTGAAATAAAATCTAATGTTTCTGCTTCAAAATGTAAAGCTTTTAAAATAATAGAAGTCTTTGGCAGAATGGACTGTTATTATTCTTTTGTTCGTTTCAACATCATGAGTCCTGCAGAACTAACTGTGTAATGCACAATATATTGATTGATTGATTTTTCAGGCCAGACATTTAGACTTTGTTTTCTTTCTAAAATGGCAAAATTATTAATAGCTATAAGTTTTGTTTGGTGATTATATATAATATACCTTTTATGGTCATAATTCATTCTGCAGCCATAACAGCAATTTCCTTCATATAAACAACCTGGGTCATAAATGGGTACAGAAAAAAGTGAACACATTTTTGTACATAAACTTACTCTTTATCCATTTTTTGTGAACAATTAACATATCTGATATAAAGATATGTGCATCTATAAAACTATGCTGCTTGTACTTCAGACCACATATCTCTTTAATGTCTACAGGAAAAATGGGCAAACTGTGATTTAACCTAATGTTTTTACCTATTACATAATGTCATGTTTTTACTGTGTTTGTATTTGTAGGCATCGATTTGTTGGCGGCTGTAAGCCGCCCTGAGTCCCCCTTCGGGGTTTGAGAAGGATGGGATACAAATGTTTGAAATAAATAAATTGGACCATGTCAATGATCTTTATATATTTAGGGTGGTGTGAGAATGGAAAAAAATACTTAATCTGCCCTACCATTAGTCAGAGTGATCTCTAGGAACTAATTTGGGCTGTAATGGAAGGACAGTCTGGAAGAAAGCAAGCATTTACTGGAATATGTTTGCATATTGTGCTGAAAAAACTTGAGTTGGCTCTGTGTACTAGACATCTTAACTTTGGGAAGAGGCTTGAGTTGTATAGTGTTGTCCTTTCTTTTTGTACCCTGAGCAGTCAAATGTCCAAAGACCTCTTCACCCAGGGTAAATTTTGGAGGCAATTCCAGTTCCACAGCAGCTTTGCCATGAAGCTTGCCAGCTCCCATCCCACACTGGAGAAGTACTCCAGCAGCTCCATGGCAAAAATGCTGTGGAACTGGAGTTGCCACCAGAAAAAGGCAGTGGCAGCAACACGGGAGGTTTCCTGTGGTTCCATTGCCCTCAATGGAGCAAGCCAGTTGGCTGATGCTTCCCCACCTCTGATATGGAGTGGGGAAGCCAGGATGGTGTGGGACGGTATGATGTAGACATGTACTGCCGAAATCGCCATGATCCACAGTGATTCTGGTGGCATATCTGAAGAGTTCCTTAGTGAAATCCTGGTATATAAATAAAAGAAAGAGAAGTGTGCCGAGAAACTAAAATCATTGCATTACCCCAGAAGATAGATATCTGAACTAAACTTGGTTTTTATTTATTTCTAGAGACAGATGAAAAATGTCAAGCTTATACATATCTGATTAAATTAAAGTGGTCAACAGAATAATCCTATTCATCTATCTCCATGAGTAAATTGTGTTATTTTCCAAAAAGGTTTACTTAGAAAACTATGTATAAGATTACAGCCTAAGGTTTATGCAAGCATTTAAAATAATAATAATAATAATAATGTGTTTCAGAAATCAACTTTAATAGGAAAAACACAACAGGTTATTTTTTTTATAGACAGCAGAAATGTGATTCTAATACTCTATCATTTGTGGTTTTGGGAGTTCTATTTATAAAAGAGATATAAAATGAAAGTGGATAAAATCCCAATGCATTATGTCATTCTGCAGAAGATTATATCTATTGCTTGATTTTTTAAAGTGTTCATAGATTCAGTTAGCATCTTCGGTTTACTAAAGGATGTCCTTCAGTAACCTCGGGGATTGCCACTTTTTCTAAGAACATTTATAGTTGCTTTACACATTCAGGATACACATTATTATTTATTATGTGAGAGTAGCACCAAAACTACTTAAAGCTATAATAAGAATCAGTTATCATAAAGATAAAGAGTTATTACAGAGTACTAATGTACTGATAACACAGAAACTTTGCAAAACCTTTTCCTGATGTCAAATATTTATTTCGGATATGAAAAATTCACATCATGCCACAGAATTGAAATCTTTCTCCTGCAATTAATTAAAATGTTATTCTATTACTTTATTATTTCTGTATTGCATCCCAGCCCCCAAGGACTACTGAAGTGATGAAGCAATAAGAACCAATAAAAACAATACAAGATAAAAAATTAAAACACATTAAAATTCTTTAAAAACACCTACAAGTAGTTAGAAAAACTTTAAAGACAATTGAAAAGCAAACACAAAACTTGAAGTGAAAAGTGGTGAAACATTTAAATTGTTATAATATGTGGTTTACAGAAAAAGGTTTTAACATATACATTTTGCTGAATGTTTTCTGATAATGTATTTTAGCTACCATATATTGTGCCCCATTGCAAGATACGAGGAAAGGCAAAAAAATAAATTCATTTATTAATTAAACATTATTAATTAGCATTATTCTCAAGCAAATGATTTCAAAATCCAATATTACATGATGTATATAATTCTGTGCATAATCTATGAGCACAGTTTACAGCCTTTACATGAAATTTGTTAAAACAAGCCTTCAGTGGGCTATGGATCATAGCATATTGCAATTAATTTACCCATATTAATTTCTAAAATATTATTAATAATAAGAAATAAACATTTTAGAAATTAATATGGGTAAATATAATTTTACTCCAAGCTAGAGCACACCTGTTCTGCCGCCACGCTATCTTAACTACTTGGAAAGTGAACTGGCTTTGAAGGGGACAGGGAGACTATATAGTTGAATCAAATAAGAATTTATTAACTGACCAGAATAGACTTTCTCTCCTCCTGAGCCTCACTACAAGTTTTTATGAGGAGAGGTAAAGTCTTTTGAGAGACAGACACAGTTCTGACTGAACTGAGACTCTTGAATCTTTATTTCTTCTCATTGTTTCTTTCCTGCGTGGTGTTCAGCTGTCTCTAAAATGGTCTCAATATTTAACTCTGACTGGACTTGAATACAGCTCCGACTGGACTTGCTATTCTGTAGACCTTCCGGCCGTCACAAAAATAACCAGAAGAGCCTTCCCTGAGGCTCTACCTCTGAGGGATTCTTAAAGGGGCAGGGCGATGGAGGCTTCAAATGCAAAGAAGTTGTCTAGACTGACCCGTCAGAAACTGTACATAAAATATTAATCCCTTTAACTAAAAAGGACTTAACTAGGGGTAAACAGTGAGGGTCTTCATGGGGCATTACAACACCCATTGATATATCATAAATAGAACTAAAATGTCCTATTTGTTTTAATGGGTCTGTTTTAGTTGGGAGTTAAAATTTAATTTATCCTGTGATATTATTTTTTAAAAAAACAGCTTGAGGAAAATAGAGACATTTATATGGTACATCCACAAGACAGGAAGAAATGTGTTTAAAATATATTACCAATTGCAAATATTTATATACATTTTCACATTCGCATAAAACATAATTCAGTGATATTCACTTGAAACATCTGAAGGAGATTTGAAGGATGGAGGAAGAAAAGATGGACAGAAGTAATCAGTTTTAAGGATCATGAAATTAATTTACTCTGGCTGGTGTGGATGGGATGAAACTACTAAATATCAATATTCTCAGTTTAAATTAAGAGACGTTGGCTGTTGCCTTTTCAATATGTTTCAGCAAACATATTTCAGCTATTTGACGCTTTATGTCTTGCTCTCAACAACACAATAAATAAACATAATATAAGCACAGCATTTAGACAAAAATAATTCCACTCTGATATTTAAAATAGCCATAATATTAGTATATATAATTTATTCTAACTGCACCATACAATGACTGGTACACACAGAAGAGAAAATTCTATAAATGGAGTATTATTCTCAAGCATATGATTTCAAAATCCAATATTACATGATGTATATAATTCTTAGCACAATCTAGGAATACAATTCACAGCCTTTACATGAAATTTGTTGAAACTAGGCTTCAGTGGGCTGTGGATTATAGTGTATTGCACAGAAGACTATTCATGTTCAAGACTATTTCCAAGGTGTGCTGGGAGGAAGAAAGAACAGTAACATGTGCAAAGAAAGGTTCATTTTGTAGAAGTGTGTATGTGTGTGTGTGTGCATGATGCATTTGATAAATAGCAAGAATCCTCTAAAATGGTAGAATGACAATAAAGATTCAAGACATACTTTTCATTCCTCTGACTGTGTTTTTCTTACCTTCGGCAGAAAGACCTTGGACATTTACACCTCTGGCTGCCAGAAAACTAAGGCAGACATCAACATTCTCAACCTGCAAAACGAACACAAAACAGCAAAAACAGTTAAAGGCTTTTTTACAAGAGGGACTTGACTGCAGCAAATGGCTTGAAGGAAATGAATAGTTTACATTCATCACATACTCCAGTTCTTTAGTAAAGTTTAACAAGAATGATTACTGCTAATTGGGCAGCTGCTATAAAAGCTTTCATTGTCCACTTTGGTGCTTAACAACAATTCATAAAGGGCTGATCCAGAACAGCATGCTGCTGACAAATCAGCAATCCACCTACTTACCATGAAACTGGATTCTGTACACTCCAATAAGGAACAATGAAAGCTTCCATACAGAACTGAGAACTGAGTACAAAGATGTGCATGACCAGCTGTTCCAATGGGGAAAAAACAACCAAAAAACAGTTGCCATATATGTCAAAAATATATGCCTGGAATGAGTTTGAATATTATTACTAAACAACATACTTTTTTCTTGCCTTATACATAAAAACTCCCTTAAATTATTTGGCTGTAATTTTTGAAAGAAGCTCAATTTACAATCGCTTTTGACAAAGCCTGTTTTCTTTAGGCTCTACCTTATTACCTTATTTATTACCTAACATCAATCTTCCCCAAGGTGACCTCTAGAAGTCATCACTATTTTAGCTGATCACCATTGGACAGCATGCTTGATAGGAGCCGTAGTTGAAAGGATAGGAATGAGGAAGAGCATCTCTTATTATTTAGTGTGATAATATACCAATACAGACAGAACAGACCTGCGTTGCCCTGATCCAGCATTTGTAAGAGAATTAGTCAGAAGAAGAAGTTGCCATATACAGTCATATTCTGGGTTGAAATGTACTATAAACATGTCTTTCAAAACAACAAAACATACTATAATGCAATTTGGACAGCACTATCAAGAAAGGAAGAGTGAAAGCTCATCTGGTGTAAGGATAATAAAATCAAAAAAGTGAAAATAAATCCTTATTTACAAATAAGAGTTTATTTTCACTTGTTTGATTTTATGATTTTTTATGGCCAAAACATGTATAAGATGATTTTTTTCCATAGCTCTAAATGTATACCAAGATAAACACCACATGTAAGCATTATTCTTAATAGGTACCAAAATGTATCAAATTCTGTATGACCCTTCTTTTTTCTAGGTTCCTGAGACTTAGTGGTAAACTTTTCTACTTAACCATGGAGAGAGTTATTACTAGCACTATTCCAGTTCTGTGCTATTTTGAGTCCTGCAGAGAGTGACATAAATATTTTTTCAGACTTTTATATGAAAGGTTTATGTTGTCTCCTGACAATAAAAATACTAATTTGAAAAGCCTGGGAAAAATGTAGTTTTGGACAGCATTGTCATCTCAACAGCTGTGGACTGGTCCAGTCAAAAGAAGTTTTATTTGTCTCAAATTGGAATTGTTTTATCTAGCCAGAAAAAAAAAACCTAATGGTTTATAGTAAAAACATTGTACACTAACAAGGACTATGGAATAGAAGCTCTCATGTTTTTCATTGATTGTAGCACTTATAAGTATTTCAGTTTTGTAGGATAATTCGCCTTTTAAAAATATACTGAAACCGAATATCTTAGATGAGCATACATTGATTGACAAATCTGGAACTAATGTAAATCCATGAAATATATTCACTAGGCATGTGCAAAAATTTTGGAAATTCCCCAAATCATAAGAAAATCGGAAGTTTTGTAAGCCGGAAGCCATATCCAAAGCGTTCGTGAGGCCTACACCAAATATTTTAGAACTGAAACTTACCCCAAACTTTTTTGTTTTAGCTTTGTAAATCTTGGAAGCTTCCCAAAGTCAGTTTCATATTCAGTGCAAGGAAGTAAAACCACTAAGCCAAAAAGGCTGCCTGCTTGCCTGCCTACCTGCCTGGAATTAATGGAGTCTCGGCATTAGGAGCCATGAAAAGAGGGAACAGTGCATTTTGGGAACAACATGAAGCTCTGGGAAATGTATTTTGAGAAGGAGAGGAGTCCTATGCCAAAGAATTCAAAAGGCTCTGCCCTAAGCTACATTTCCCAGTATGCTTTAGTATCGGAAAGCCACAATTAAGAGAGGAGATTGGTCTGTAGCCAGCCAGAGCTCCAAGGCATTTGTTAATATTCTACACTATGATTTCTGTTCCTAGGTTATAAATGGCAGTTCCTAATTGGTTCTGTCATAAAAAATATGGCAAAAGTTTATTACACTGCAAAATTTTGTCTTTGTGCAGGGGACGTCATCTTATAGCACATTTTGCTTTGTTGAGTCTCCACCAATTTAACAAAGTTTCTGCTGCGGAATATTCTTCAAACAGAAGAGACAAACGGTACCTCTCTTATGAGGAATTTCTGTTAGAAGTGCAATATTTTATGTTTTCATGTCTTAGTTGTGTAGCCTATGCTATAATATGTATATTAAATGGCTACTAAGATATGAGATGCCACAAGGTTCCATTCTGTCCACCATGCTCTTTCATATCTACATGAATGGAATCTGGGTGGGACCACTAAAGCTTTTACAGTTAAGTTTCATTGGTATGCTGATAACACTCAGCTCCACTTCTTCCACTGGGGTGTGCAGGAAATGGATGGGTGTTTGGGTGTTGCAATGGACTGGATGAGGACCAATACAATGAAAATGAACCCTGACAAGAAAGAAGCTTTATATATTCTGCATCATAAGAAAAAGGAATTACACGTAAATCAAAARATGAAAAGCAAAAAGTCATGTACAAATTCAAACTTCRGTGTCTCCTTGGTAGATGTTTTCATCGGGAACACAAGTGTTCAACTCCCCCCCCCCCCCATTGAGTTTTCCAGATTATGTAGAACAGTTAGATCATCTAGTATTGAATCCTTGCCATCAAACTCTAGGCTCTGCATCTGTCATTACAAGATCAAAGAAAGATACCAAATCCTGTGCCTCCAATGTTGTGTTTAGTTTAGTATTATCTTTTTTAATGCCCTGAAAATCAACTGAGTTGGAAAACCCAAATTATAGCAAATTCCTTTTTTCAATAAAGATTATAGAGTTTACAGTGCTACATAAATCTAAAAAATGTATATTCTAGATATTGGAAGACAGGTGGGTCTGACTTCTTACAAGCCAACCACACAGCATCTTTCTTTCATTTGTTACACAACTTACACCAGAATTTGGCTGAAATAGGGATGAACTGCATACTGCCAGAATCTCTTTCCCTGTTAGTGATATATCTGGAAAAATTGCTGTAAATACTTCCAGTCATGTCTGCTATATAAGATTATTCCCAGATTCCCCCCAGCTTCAAATTGTTTTCCATTTATTTTTTATTTAAGTCTTTACTGTTTGAATTGTGGAGCAACAGACACATAGAAAGTTCAAAAAGAAGTCTTCATATATACTTGAGCCGAAACTACTTCTATATAGGACACCACATGAATGAGGCACTGAAAATTTGGGGAGTGGGAGGCAGCATCATTAAGTGGGAGGCAGCATCATTCTTCCAATCTTCAGCAGAAAATTTTTACATGAGGAGCACTAAAGTCCCATAAGAATAAAAAAAATCTGGAGCATCAACAAAAAAGGCACAGAAAATTTTTGAGAGTTCACAATTTGAAAGAAAATACTTTTACTAAGAATTGTATGAAGCCTATGACCATTATCATCATCTCAGCTTCTAGTCAGATCAAGGTAACTATTATAAATTTTCATGTCCATTGTCTCGCTGTTGTTGGTTCATTTTTGTTTTGGATGGGGCAATAATCCCATGTTCTAGAGATTTATCTACATTTTTGTGATATCTGACCATTTGTCACAGATCTAACCTACCTGACTTTCAAAAGTATTTGATTACTCCTGAAAGCTAATTTGATATACATAGATTGTCTGATGTAATTATAGTAGGTAAGGTCCCAAGAATTATTTCCAGTGCCCTGAAGGTGACAAGCAGAAGTCACATTCAAATTCCCCTTTGCACACAAACCAAAAATCTTTGCACATGAGACCTTTTCTTCAAACCAGTAAACTGTTGTTATCATAATGGAGGTGGGAGATATAACTTCATTCAGCACAGACTGAACCTTGATTTCCTGGTTTGTGTTTCAACTGAACAGAATCACACTGTTCTTGTCAAGAGTAAGTTTCTGTTTCTTACCCTCATTCAGTTTATAACTAGTATCAGATACTAGAAAAGCTTCTGTCTCTTTAGATTTAATTCATTCTAATAGGAAATACGAATTGGATGTCATCAGCATCCTGGTGGCACTGAATTTCCAAACTGTAACTCCCCTCCCCCTTAGGATGGCCACACAATATAAATCTGAGCAACATCATATAGCAGTGGGTAGGAAATCAGATGGCAGAACATTAATGCCACTTTCTGAAATCACCTTTTATAATCACAGCAGCAGAAGTATCATTTATGGAAAACACTTTAAAAAGTTAAAATGGGCAATAATATAAAAAGCACCAAGAAATTTGGTACAGACAGTAGAGATATTCTCCCCTTATCCACCTCCCACTGTAGATCAACCATGAGGATGATTAAGCTGTTTCTTCTCCAAATTTAGCCTGAAGCCAGACTGAAATGAATTTAGTCAAAAAGTCTACATAGAAATTCTTGGCGTTTTTCAAATTTTCTCTTCTTTGGCACATCAAAACATCTTGTTTTGTTTTTTTTAAAAGATTTTTTTTAAGATTTACAAGATTTTGTTTTTACACTTTGGCACTTATTCAAAAATAAATAGCCCCAAAATGTGCCAAAATATCAATGCATTTTAACAGTATATCTTTTACATCATTTTAAGTGCTGATATTGTGCAAATAATTTTTTTGGCCTCAAAAAATTCAATGAATGAAAACTCATTCAAAAAGTATGAAAAACACCTGTAATCCTACCCATATGACAACATAAATAAAATTAGCTAAGAGTTTCCTTTCTAACATTTCTACCATGGAGCTGATATGATGCCTTTGAATTGTGACAAATCATGACATACAACTATAGTCCCATACATGTCACTATAAGAAA